ATTGTAGTCTGACAACTTCTGAGATGCTAAATTCATCAAATTCTCCTGTTTCGTTGATTAAGAGGTTCGCGTGTGCGATCTTTAAAACTATGCATACAGCCCACACATCTCGATTGCGTGGTAAAAGCACGGCGGAACATGGAGTAATATCAATTTGTGGTTTGGCCGGCACATTAATCACATCTGATTTGGATTAGAGGCCGTGCATTCTCGAATTACATGACGGCAGGGTTGAAGATCTAGTGCGTGCAGGCAGCTCCCTTTCAAATTAGATCGTGCTTCAGGAAGTCTAAATTGAGCTCGGCACCACACCTCGCTACTCGAAAGTGCCGATTATTTCCTGGCTCAATTTCAAACAGTAGATTTTCGTAACTCATTGTATGGATGTAGTCCAGATGTGATGCACCCATCAAACTCTCAATTTTACTTAAAATTTCAATTTTTACAATTTGCTAGGTAATGAGTTCCAATGAATGAGATTCAGAGTGAAAGGCTTGCGTCTCTAGTTTATGTAAAATACGCATTAAGCCAGCACACTTCCTGACTGTACCACTATAGTTCGAAGGAGAGACGAAGGAGTGGTGAATCAGCTTTATGAAGTTTATTAGATGAACTGGATTTGAATGCCTAACTCTCCAGAACAGTGTAATAGATGTGGTTATTTTTCTCAGCTCAAATACCTCACCATCTAGAACAGTGATGCAGTTAGAGGCCCACAGTTTTCGGTGCGGCTCAGTCTCATAAAATACATGAGACGAACTGTAATAGATGTGATCATTTTTCTCAGCTGAAATACCTCATCATCAAGCACAGTAATGGAGTTAGGCTCACAATTTTTGATGCGAATCAGCCTCATAGGATACTATGAGACGAACTGTAATAGATGTGATCATTTTTCTCAGCTGAGACACCCCACTCTCTAGAACAGTAATGGAGTTGGGGCTCACAATTTTTGATACGAATCAGCCTCATAGAACCTATGAGATGAACTGTAATAGATGTGATCATTTTTCTCAGCTGAAATACCTCAGAATACATGAGACGAACTGCAATAGATGTGATCATTTCTCTCAGCTGAGATACCTCACTCTCTAGAACAGTAATGGAGTTCGAGGCTCACAATTTTTGATGCGAATCAGCCTCATAGAACCTATGAGATGAACTGTAATAGATGTGATCATTTTTCTCAGCTGAGACACCCCACTCTCTAGAACAGTAATGGAGTTGGAGGCTCACAATTTTTGATGCGAATCAGCCTCATAGAACCTATGAGATGAACTGTAATAGATGTGATCATTTCTCTCAGCTGAGATACCTCACTCTCTAGAACAGTAGAGGAGTTGAGGCTCACAATTTTTGATGCGAATCTACTTCATAGAACCTATGAGATGAGCTGTAATAGGTGTGATCATTTTTCTCAGCTGAGACACCCCACTCTCTAGAACAGTAATGGAGTTGGGGCGATGCGAATCAGCCTCATAGAACCTATGAGATGAACTGTAATAGATGTGATCATTTTTTCTCAGCTGAAATACCTCAGAATACATGAGACGAACTGCAATAGATGTGATCATTTCTCTCAGCTGAGATACCTCACTCTCTAGAACAGTAGAGGAGTTCGAGGCTCACAATTTTTGATGCGAATCTACTTCATAGAACCTATGAGATGAACTGTAATAGATGTGATCATTTTTCTCAGCTGAGACACCCCACTCTCTAGAACAGTAATGGAGTTGGAGGCTCACAATTTTTGATGCGAATCAGCCTCATAGAACCTATGAGATGAACTGTAATAGATGTGATCATTTCTCTCAGCTGAGATACCTCACTCTCTAGAACAGTAATGGAGTTGAGGCTCACAATTTTTGATGCGAATCTAGCTTCATAGAACCTATGAGATGCGAATCAGCCTCATAGAACCTATGAGATGAACTGTAATAGATGTGATCATTTTTCTCAGCTGAAATACCTCAGAATACATGAGACGAACTGCAATAGATGTGATCATTTCTCTCAGCTGAGATACCTCACTCTCTAGAACAGTAATGGAGTTGAGGCTCACAATTTTTGATGCGAATCAGCCTCATAGAACCTATGAGATGAACTGTAATAGATGTGATCATTTCTCTCAGCTGAGACACCCCACTCTCTAGAACAGTAATGGAGTTGGGGCTCACAATTTTTGATACGAATCAGCCTCATAGAACCTATGAGATGAACTGTAATAGATGTGATCATTTTTCTCAGCTGAAATACCTCAGAATACATGAGACGAACTGCAATAGATGTGATCATTTCTCTCAGCTGAGACACCCCACTCTCTAGAACAGTAATGGAGTTGGAGGCTCACAATTTTTGATACGAATCAGCCTCATAGAACCTATGAGATGAACTGTAATAGATGTGATCATTTTTCTCAGCTGAAATACCTCAGAATACAGAATACATGAGACGAACTGTAATAGATGTGATCATTTCTCTCAGCTGAGATACCTCACTCTCTAGAACAGTAATTAAGTTAGAGGCTCACAATTTTTGATGCGAATCAGCCTCATAGAATCTATGAGATGAACTGTAATAGATGTATCATTTTTCTCGGCTGAAATACAGTTGGAGGCCCGTACTTTTTTGAACTACGAATCGGTTTTACGAACTCGGTGAACTGGACTTAAAGGTTCCCATTTTACTGACCGAGTTAAAGTTGGAAGTCCGGAACATTTTTTAATTACATACATATTGATAAGCATCAGGAATCTAGTAGGTGCCGCCAACCCTTCCCAAATTTTTTCAAATCAGGCTTTTGGTTTCGAGGAGGAACTGAGTTCGGCATCCTCATTACCCTTCACAAAGTGCAGATTTTTTACCGATCCGACTGGATTGTAAACGAATGATATTCTGTAAATGATAC